GCTTCGGAGGAAAGCAAGTTGATTCTCGTACGTGTGCGGCGCTAGGCTGGACCTTTGTGAGGCAACACACTCATTTTAAGGCTGTCAACGCCTCCGATCAAACATTCGGACATTTCGGCGATTTGATTCACGGCCAGGACGGCCGTTGGATGTTTCGTTCCAGTCGGAGTGTCTTAGTCGGCACCGCTGTCTTTTGGACATCGTGGGCACGTGATGCATAAGTGATTGTTGATGCCTCCTTAACCCCTGTTGTCTTCGCTTGTTTTCTTCCGGCTTCAGAGTGAATAAGACCAATCGCTTGCCCACATTCTGAGTGTTGCACTCCGCCGTGGACCGTACGCCTGAAAACTTAACTGACCGGATGCTAGGGTTTGCAGTCTCAAGTGGCTAATGCATTGCAGCGCTTGTGCATCATTTCGTCTTGTGTGCTGAACTTTTGCTCAGTCCCATGTAATCATGTCCACCATAGAGCGTAGCCCTTTTGATGTAGATGCCGATGGTTTCAATTTTCAGTCACTGGACGAGTTGGCTTCATGTCTATTCCGTATTCTTGATGGTATTCCTCCACGGATGTGGTTGAGTTACAGTCGAAAGAAGGTGCGATCTACAGACCAAGCTCATGCGGATCAGATATTGCTTGGCTTGTATTCTGGCGTGCAGTCTCGAGGAAGATTGCAGTTTACAAAGAACACATTCCGGTTCCCTGGCCTTACCAAGTTGATTGTCCGAATGCTACATTATTCTCCCCAATTCTCGGATCTTGCAGTTACCAGTATACAGATCAATCGCAATGTTCGGACTATTCCGCACAGAGATTCAAACAATCACGGCCCAAGCATTGGCTGGGCCATTGGAGATTGGACAGGTGGAGAATTATTTGTTGTGGAAGACCGAGGTCGCTTTACATATACAGTTGATGATTTCAATTGCAATGTTGCATCGCATGGTGCTCACTTGACAGGCAGACTCTTGGATGTCAGACAACCTTGCTGCTTTGACGGAAATGTGATTCATGCTACCATGCCGTTCACTGGAACTCGAATCATGATGGTTCTTTTCTGTGTCAAGCAACATGTTCCCGTTTCACCCCATGCCTCTTGTCTCTCTTTTGCTCGTTTTCTCGGTCTTCGTGTTCCTGTTCGTTCCTCTCTTTCCTCGTTTGTTTCCTCCGGCCCTCTCTTCTCGTCTCCTCCGTTGTCTTTGTCTGCCTTTCCTTTCTCCTCGTCTGGTCGGTCCTTGTCCTCGTCGGTTCTGTCTCCTCCTTCTTCTCCCTCTCTTCCTCCTCTTCCTCTTCCGTCTGGTCCTCCCCGTCCGTCTGCTCGTCCTCCGTTGTCGTCTCTTTCTCCTGCTTCCTCGGTTGCCTCCCTCGCGTCTTCGTCGGTTTCCTTTGGCCCTCTCCGTGTTTCCTCTGTTCCCTCTTGTTCCTCCTCTCTGCGGTCTTGGTCCTGCTCCTCCTTTCCTGGGTCTTCTTGCTCTTCTTTTGTTGTTTCTTTCTCTGACTGTAATGCTGACGATTCCGACGAACCATGTCAGAGTGACATGTCACTTGACGCATAAAAGATTGCTTCAGGTGCGCTGCGTGCATTCGCATCGTATGCCTCTCACTCTCTTTGCATTGGTCAGCATGCATGTCTTCAGGCAAGTTTGTTGCATGTGCTCAAGAAGTATGCTCCACCAATCGATAGACCATGACCCGTTGCCAGTTTCGTGATGTTTGGATGGAAGATGCGCCTCGATTCTGCATATTCTCTTTTCTTATGGTACGCAGCAGTGTGCATGTCAGCACACAGAGATGTGACAATCCCGATTCTTGCCGAAACCTGCAGCACGTCCAGTGGCAGCGATGGTTGATACATGGGTTGGGACGTTGTTTTCAAGCACACAATTACCATGGACTGCCCAATGACTCTGCTACTTTCAACTTTACACATCTTCTTCCACGATGCAGTGAGTCCTTCCTGTGCCTGTCAGTGCAGTGTCGCGCTGTGACATTGCGACATATCAAGTTTCTGATGCGATTACGAGTTTGCCATGGTTCTCGATTGAAGCCCTCTTGTACATACCAGCTTATGTGTATCGAGACATGTTGGTGCCAACTTCACCAAGTTACGTTTTCGGCATGTGAATTTCCTGCTGCACATGTTCGAGTTATCTAGGCGGCTTTGAGGTCAAAAAAGTGTCCGCCACTGTTCCGTCCATTTGTGTGCCTCAGTTTGCCAAAAACGTGAGTCTTGGCAGACGTTGGTTCAAGTATTTATGCACCAATGTTCATGTATCAATGTCTGGATCTTTGCTGAGCTGCAATGACATAATCAGCAGTCTGGATGGAGATCAAGTCACGGCTCTTTTTCAGATCTTGGGAGATCGCCGGCAGAGGGCAGTCTTTCTTTCTCATCTTCGACGTCGGATTCAGAACGATGCGGATACCCTTGTTGCACAACATCTTGGTGCTCCCTCCCACTCTGTCTCTGTGCCCTCTGTCCCTTCGTTGTCTTCTTTTCTTGCTCCCTCTCCTTCTCCCTCTCCCCTTCCCCCTCCTCCTCCTCCCCCTCCTGCTTTTCCTCCTCCTCTCCCTGTTTCCTTCTCTGCTTCTGGCCGTTTTCCTTTTTCTCCCTCTCCCTCTCTTCCAGATGCCTCTCTTGGCGCTGTTTCGAGTGACGCTGCGTCATGGATGGATCGACTCTTTCGGACCCTCAACAGCGTGGCGCATTGCCTCGTCGACGGCAACAGACTGCTCCTGCTGCTCGGAGAAGCAGATCTATGAGTGAATCGGAGGTTCGCGAGAGATCCCGTTCGAGATCTAGGTCAAGATCAAGCACCACTGTTTCACCCGGAGGTTCTCGTCATATCAGGTAAGCCAGATGTACGATGAAGACAAAACTGTTGTCCCGAACTTGCTTGCAACTTCCGAGGCGCAGACATGTGGTGTGCTTTCTTGCTTTCTTGCAGCATCATATTTTGCAGTTGCTTACGGCTCAATTTGTAAGATGAAGCGAACAGCAAGTATGGCGGCCCTTCCGGCCCCAGCTCCGATGGTCAGGATTCCAGTTGTTATTCCTCCGGATATATGCTCTGGCGGACGTGAGATGGGTTTCTGGCTTTCTTTGCCTACAGATTCTACGATCGATGACTTGAAGAGGAAGGTGTGCGATGAGCTTGCGAACCGCACGGGGATTCCACCCCGTTTGAACGCCTTCCAATTACGGCAATTTGGTCAACACTTACCATTCACATCTTCGATTTCTCGAGTTGCTGCCTTTCCGCATACTACGCAGTCAGTTCACTTTGTGAGAACCTGGCCACACGAATCATCGTGGTGAACTTGTACAGTGTGCTGATCATAAAATAAATGCTGTATTGTGGTCCGTTATGCGAGCTCATGAGTTTTTGTTGCTTTTGCAATCTTCCAGTTGTCCTTCTTTCACTGCAGGATGTGAGCCCGAATGTTACGTAGTGCCTTCTGAAGGGTGTAGACTTTTCCTTGACGCCATGTGGGAACTTACTGTTCTGACTGAGAAAGTGCTGACTTTTATCAGCACCCGACGCCATATAATTTTCTTCTTCACCTTCCCTGCATTAGATCCACTTGAGACTCTGGATGTTACTCTTCGCAGACATGGATTTCATACGATGTATGATCTTGAACAGTTCGTCACACAATGCAGAACAGAAGGGATGGATCTTCGTGCTGAAGTATGGGAGTTCTTTATGCAAGGACCCAGTGTGTATACGCCGATTACGTGTGAAGCTCCCGCCTTACCTCATATTGTGGTGTATGCGTCCGTATGCAAAGAATGGTATTACACTATTATCCGATTGGTTGGCGATCGCACATTCTTCAATATTCAGCAGCTTTGGCGTCTTGCCCAAGTGCGCCATGCCAATGTGGAGTGGATTCATCACTCCAATGAAGACCGAGTGCGTATTGGGTCGGCTTTCATTGATGATCTTACTGTGCGCCGCATTGTTCACCCACTGTAAAGTGTAGAATCGACCTGGACTTGAGCGGATCACGCCACATGAGTATAAATGGTGTGCCTGGTCATGCGAGTCTTGACATGTGGCCCTAGGTTTGCCTTCTTTCGTGCTGATCTGTAGTGCTCAAGCTTTTTTGAAGTCTCAGTGCGTAATCATGTCGTCCAGTGGTCGTCGTACTCTTCGTTATGAACCAGGGTCGAGGCGAGCCAGTGATGACAATTTCGAGGATATTGTGCAAACATCAGCTGCCGAGGCCCTCGATGCTCTCCGCTCTAACGACATTCACCCACAAGACCTTATTCGGTTGATGCTTCGAGTTGTCGAAATCCTACGTGATTCTTCGGACTTTCAACAAAGGATGTCACGATGCTCCGGATTATGCTCTCATCCGAACTGCGGTCGTGTATGTGCTCGTGCAGACGAAGGTCACAATCATTGCCGATGCTATTACCACCAGGTTATTGACCGCAGTGAGAGAGCCATCAAGAAGCGTAGACATCAATAGGCTTGCTGCTCACACGATGATTGGGAACAGTCGCAAAAGACCTGCACCTTGATGCTTCGTGCCCCTCCGGGGGCCTGTTTGTGTTATTCTGCTGTACATGCGACAAACCTGCATTCACATGTTCACTTTTCCTCGGCATTTCTGGTTGAAATTCGTTGTTGGTTTTTGCTTTTTTCTGTTTTCATGTTCTTTTTGCTTTTAAGTTTGCAGGGGGCGTGGCGGTCACATCCTAGCCACGCCAACGAAGCTATGGATGTTGACTGGATGGGTTCACAGACGTGTGAGCCTGTACCTGCGAAAAAGCTGGGCCCCTGAGCCAGCGAGATTAGCAAAAAGTTTCTTTGGAACAAGGCAGGTTTGCAGGTTTGAACACGTCTTTCGCTTGTTTTGAAGTTTTGCAGGGTTGCTACAATCTGTTTGAACATGTCCATGAGAGTATCCGCATCGGACGATCAGAACATCCAGAAGGCCGGGTCATTAGGAGCCTTTCCAGTTGTGACACGTCTTGCAGCATAAGGACCCAGAAGTCGTTGGAGATGCGACGGACACAGCGGAGCTCGAGGGAGGTTCAAGTGATGTTGGATCTTCATCGGAGGTTCTGTCCGGCGACATGCAGACTTCTGTGTCTGATGATGCGGAAGCTTGGCAAGATGAGGCATGGCGTTTGGTGATGTGGCCTGAACTCGGTGACCGCGGACAGTGTCGAAAAGAATAGCTGATGTTTATCACGAGTCCGGAAGCAAAAAACAAATAGAGCAGCCACTTGACGACAGTGACCTGGTTGAGCTTCTTGCATGGCTTGCAGCATAAGGACCCAGAAGTCGTTGAAGATGCGACAGACACAGCGGACCTCGAGGGAGGTTCAAGTGATGTTGGATCTTCGTCGGAGGTTTTGCCAGGCGACATGCAGACTGATGATGCGGAAGCTTGGCAGAAAGATGCATGGCCTTTGGCGACATGGCCGTGATCAGTGTAGGCCAGAATTGCTGATTCTTTTTGCTGAGCTTCTGGCATGGCTTGCAGCATAAGGACCCAGAAGTCGTTGAAGATGCGACAGACACAGCGGACCTCGAGGGAGGTTCAAGTGATGTTGGATCTTCGTCGGAGGTTTTGCCAGGCGACATGCAGACTGATGATGCGGAAGCTTGGCAGAAAGATGCATGGCCTTTGGCGACATGGCCGTGATCAGTGTAGGCCAGAATTGCTGATTCTTTTTGCTGAGCTTCTGGCATGGCTTGCAGCATAAGGACCCAGAAGTCGTTGAAGATGCGACAGACACAGCGGACCTCGAGGGAGGTTCAAGTGATGTTGGATCTTCGTCGGAGGTTTTGCCAGGCGACATGCAGACTGATGATGCGGAAGCTTGGCAGAAAGATGCATGGCCTTTGGCGACATGGCCGTGATCAGTGTAGGCCAGAATTGCTGATTCTTTTTGCTGAGCTTCTGGCATGTCTTGCAGCATAAGGACCCAGAAGTCGTTGGAGATGCGACGGACACAGCGGAGCTCGAGGGAGGTTCAAGTGATGTTGGATCTTCATCGGAGGTTCTGCCAGGCGACATGCAGACCTGGGTGTCTGCTCGCCCAGTGACTTGGTCGGTTCCATAGTGTGAGACCTCTCGTATCCCCTTATGACACGTGTTCAGTGGGTGCCGCTCTTTAGCCGCAGTGAGTGTCTGATCAAGAACTTGGCGAGATCCTTCGGTTTCCGCCCTTAAGATTGAACATTTATGGTTTACGGTTGTGCCAGCGCATACGACTGAAGGTTAGGTGCTGCTGCTTGTTTTACATAGAGGTTGAGGGCCATCAACAGCATCCTGCCTGGATTCTACTCTTCCTCCTACGTGTTATCCAGCTGCTACAGGGGTTCTCGTCTTGGAAACGGAGGGATGCTTTAGCAAAGTGAAGAGGCCTCAAATCGCATGTGTACTCATATTCTCCGATGCAGCTCTCGTGTGGGTTGACCAGTCTTATGAGTTTTGTGGCTAGGCTAGGATGCTGTAATACAGCCAGGTTACCAAAGGAAGGGCAGTACGTTGGAGAGTAGAAGTAAATTTCATTATTCCTGTCAGAGCACTTCATGTCTGCATGTAGCCTGTCCATGTAGTTGCACGTGCAGATTCAGCGGAGTACGGAAGAAGCAGCGAAGCCACGTAACAACAGTGATTGCATTCTTTTCTTTTTGCACGGCTCGCAGTGTAAGGACTCAGAGGTCGTTGGGGATGCGACAGACACGGCGGAGCTTGAGGATGCCGCAGTGGATGCTGGATCTTCATCGGAGGTTCTGCCAGGCGACATGCATACCTGGGTGTCTGGTGACTCAGTGACTCGGTCGGCTATACATTATACACCCTCTGCTGACTTGTGATTTAAGTAGCAGTCGCGGCCCGGTTCAAACACTTGAGATGCTTCGCTGGACTCGCGCAGAGATGCTGAGAGGAATGAGCATGATCAAGACAAACACCCGTGGTTTCAAAATGCTTCGACTGGGATGCAAGATTATAATCCCTTGAACAGTACCTCCTTGGCCCCGAACCTCTGACTTTCGTGTGGCCGACATGGGAGCAAGACGGAGCTGAGCTTCTACGGGCTGCTTCTCGCATTGCTGCCACACCTCCAACAACCACTGCGATGCCTGCGACAACTACAACACTGGGGAGTAGGGTGGTTGAGTGGTACTGACATTAGTAGTTGTTGCAGCGGCAGCAAGCAGCAGGCGCAAGTCCGAGCAGTAGTGATAGTGGTGGCAATGTTTGCAGCTTATGCAGCCGAGCGTGTGCAGTTGTCTTCACCAAGGAAGCTGTTTTGCCCCACGAACTTCACGCTGGTTCCAGTGACGAGGCTGTTTGGCGTCTAGCGTGTTGGAGACGGTGTGACTCTCGGCCCTTGCACCATGCAGTACCCATGGCAGGTGTCTGATGTTGGCAGCGTCCCACTGGACTGTACCGGCCGGCCGGAGGCAGCCCTCTTGCTCGTGGGGACACGGGACACCAAGCACTCAGCTAACATCGGTTCACTGCGTGGGAAAGCAGGGAGGGCTGTGCGCATGAATGATGGCATTCTGTAAAGCCTGCGCCTTTGGGCATCTTGGCAGATGTGGGACTCACAGAAACGCGGTTGGTGCTGTGGCATTCCTGGCATCCACTGCGGGAGCACCGTCGCATCCTCAATTTTCCATGTTCGTGCTCTTCTTGAGCAAAGATGCTGCGAACGGGGATTGCAGTGCTCGATTCACCTGTGTGCACCCAGTACAGCCAATGTCGAAGAGCAAGGAGCCTGTGTTTCATGTTCTTGATTTCAGATGAAGGCAGAGAAAGCAGCACCAGGATGTGCCAGAGCAGGAAGAGCTAGTCAGTTAAGCTGCAACAGTCTCATGCAGTCCTTCATGAAAGGATGATCGGAATAGTTCTGGTTCCGTGATCTCTGGAGAATCGAAGCTGAGGTCGTGGTCCATCACCATGTGATTGTACCCTATCATTGCGATGCTGGCTACTCCCATTGGTCAAACGCTTGGAGCAGTGCCAAGCAGGACTGTAGCGCATTTGTCAGACTACCGCGTGGAAGCACATGAGGGATCCATGTTGAGGATGGACTGTCTAGGTGACTGCTCGTGGTGTCTCTATATCAGATCCCATTTGCTCAACATCAGAACTTCGGCCGACTGGCTGAATCATGTGCGAGAGCGGAGGCCTTAGGAGGCCTGCTCACTCATCCCCGTCTTGCCCCTTGGACAGTGGTAGAAGATTGGTGTCTGGAAGTGGTCGAAGGTACAGTTGGACGTTTGGTCTGAGCCAAGCTTCCTTGAGGACTTCTGTTGCCAACATGCTGGTCGAGGTTGTCAGGCGTACCATTGTCGAGAAGGCCGGGCCCACCGTGTCACGGGAACGGGTCGGCAAACAGCTGCAAGCACTCTCTGCTTCCAGAGCGACCTGATGGCACGTCCGACGATAGAGTGTCGTGGCAATCTTGCTGTGATCTTTGTTGCAGGCTTTGAGACCTCGTACAACACTTGGTCTTCCTCTAAACGGGCATATTGCTGTGCGAATTTCCAGATGGGGTGTAAAGTCATGAACTACGACTGCTCAGCGTCCTGGCAGCAACCAGAGCAAAAAGTTCTGGCAAGTGCTCCGAGATTCGTAGTAGCATGGGTTGGGAGACACCCATGCTAGGCTGACCTGTCTCACTGGCAGCACAAGTGGACGGAGCACAAGAAGTCTTGGTGCTGCAAGACTGTGGGCAAGGCCATGCAGCTTTGCGCTTTTCCTCATCTTTTCTTGTTGCTTAGCTTTCAGTACTTCGTATTCCAGGTCTCCTTTTGGAGCTCAACTCTTGTGTTCGGGTTTTAAGGTGTGCCACTCCGACATTCCTTGTGGGATTTAGTGATTACCCGCCCTCAATTTAGTCAATTTGGACTCAGGCATGCCGGGTTGAGACTGTCTTCCTTTCATCTTTCTTTTGCAACGATACTCCATGTTGGTATTTTCATAAGACTTGTTTTCAGCTCCCATGTTCCTTCTGTGGTTCGCCAAAGTGTTCACGCAGTGTGGATACCGTCCCCATGGTTGATGGTGTCGCACTACGAACTCATTTAGGTTGAAAGGCTTGCCACCCTCGCACCTGTTTCGGTAGGCACAGTTGTTTCCGGTTTCTCACTGTGCGCTTTTCTTGTAAGTGATTCAGTCGGAGCCCTCTGTCCTTTGGGGACTCGAGCCTCGCTTTTCGGCTGGCTTTACTGTAAGCCACTGCCCGAACTGCTTCGGGCAGGACATCCCTACTTTTTAAGCGTTGCACTGGCAAGCTCCCCACTTCGTTTACCACGCTCCTATCGGGTTTGGGGTTTCTCACTCAGGCATTCTTTTCAAGTTTTCGGGTTTTACTTGAGGGTTGCCACTCCCCACTGCTTTACTGGTCGCGCGGCTTGCTTAGTCAATACGTCCTACCTTACGTCCGTTTTCGTGGTTTCCACTTGCCGTTCCTTCGAGTTCAGGCTACATTAGCAACAGCGTCGACACATGTGAATGAAGTCTTGGCTTTGCTAACGATGTCGACGAGCAGAGTCATGTGGCAGGTATCCCTTGGACGACGTGCAAAATTTCTCTTCTCGGTGTTCGTTTGACTACTCACTGGGTTGAGACGTGTGGCCTTCCAATGCTTCGCTTGATGCAGGGATGCCCAAAGACTTACAGTTGCACGACCAGTGCAGTGAACAAGCCAAGCACCTGGGCTCAGGACTGGCCTCGTTTGCTTAGTGATTCAGCCAGTTCGGAACGCCAGTCTCTCGACCAGGACAGACAGGATTGGTGTTGCCTCCAGTACGGCGTGGGCTGCCCACACTACTCTGCCCCGTACGAGTGCAAGGCCCTAACCTTTCGGCTCAGCCAGTGTCTTTGACGATATGCATCGCGATATCTTCAGCGACAGGGTGGCACTGCCGACCTGCTTGGGTGGTCGGAAGGCCGGAGGATCGCGAGTTGCAGAGCCCTTTTGCGCGGTTCCTTTTTCTGCACCATTGTCACTCTTTGCTGACGAGGCCGGCGAGACTGGTGCTGCAAGCACTATCATCGCGGCTGCGCGAAGGCGGTGACAGCAGCAGATGTGGATGAAGAACGCATGCGAGCCTGATGCGCAGGATGTTGTGACAAAGCCGTTCGATTGTTCTGCCTGTACCCTACTGCGGCTCATGGCATGCAGCGCATAAAACAACATGATTTGCCCCTTTATGATGCAAGCCGAGAACTTACAAGGCTGGACTCGCTGGTTCGAAGACGCTCTGGTCCAAGAGCAAAAAGGCACGATGGTTTTGGCAGCAAGAGCCCGTCACTATTCCTTCGGCACCATGCCTGCTTTCAGGAATGGTGCTGTCACCATGAGAAGCGTGGCTGCGCCGACTCTGTTTTGGGCGGGAGTTTTGACTGCGACGAGGGCTTCGACAACTGGCAGAGGCCCGAACCAGAGTCGAGTAAAAGCATTGTATACAGGGTACGTTGTCAGGGGCTGGTCCCCATCGAAGCAACGGTGGCCGCAAGGCAGCAAAAAGCTCTTTGCGATGCGCCAGTGTTTTCTCAGAAGGCGTGACAGCGTCGATCCAAGAAGTGACTTGATCTTCTTTGCATGCACTCAGGTGCTGCGCACAGGAAAGCAAAGGTTGTACGGAGCATTTCACCTGCGAGCGATCGAAAGAAGACGAGTGGCCGCTTGTCGTCGGGTTTCTTTTCGAGACTTTTTTTTTGTGCCGCGTTTAGCCACATCGCGTGTACGAGACTCCCCCCCGGCCATCACAGGTCCGAAGCCGAGCGGGGCTACTGCTGCGAGCATTTCCACTACGGCTGCAGGACGGCGTCGTCTGAGAGGCTCCCCCCTGGTGATTCTGTGATGTCTTTGTCTTTGCGGAAGGATGGAGCCGGCCGCAGCGAAGGTCTTCGATTGCAAAGCGGGCTACGAGGATTGGGAGCATCTTTGGACTCCTGCGAAGCAGCAGCTTGGTGAAACCAACAAGGCTTTCAGCGGGGTTTAGGTTGGCATCCCTTGTCTCACCCAGGGAATGGTGCTGCAACGGCTACGGACGTGGTTGTCCCGTCTCTGAGCCTTTTGACTGCCAAGCTGGCCTGTCCAACTGGCATGCCGGCTGGTCTGACTCCTGTCTGTGCAAGTACCCATGCCCACCGGATGTTGTTGTAACATGCAACCTGTTGAAGACACAGCTTCTTCGACTAAGGACAAAAAGAAGGATTACTGCTGTCACAAGCATGAGCTTGGATGCGAAAATGATGAAGGTGAGCCCATAGGGTCCGTGGACCCTATGGACTGGACAACGGACCATGTGGTGCTGGGTACGGTGGAGCACATACATGCAGAGCCTTATGACTGCGCCGCTGGCTTCGACAACTGGCATCGGGGTTGGTCCAGGCATAAGAAAGGATACTGCTGCGACAAATACCAGCTCGGATGCTCGCATGGCTATATGGGTGGACTTGGCTTGCACGATCTGCATGCCACGCCTGGTCGTGTGTCAGTCACGACAGTGCACCACCACCACATCCACGTGCACAGCTAGAGTTCTGGACACTTGGCGATTTTTTTGTGTTTCTGGTCGATCTTGAATGGAAATTTGGACGTGGGATGTGTGCATGTAATTCGACATGCGTGCAGAATATACTGTGCGCTGCGTCGGGTAGGTGAATTTGCTAGCAGGCTGCGGGCTTTGTCCATCCTGCATATGTCGTACGCGACACTGGCATGTTGCGTACTTCGCTTCCCTGACGATGGCACATGGGAGGTCGGTTTCACAGCGTAGGCGTGCTTGCTTTGAAAGCAGACGCGCTGTGGCAGGAGCCACATGGAGGTTACAGCCAAGACTCCCTGACGACTCGGTGATCAGAGTGTGGTGCTGCGCAGCGAAATGTTTCATGTCATCCCAGAAATTCGCATATTCCATTGGCTGTAGCAAAGCACTGCAGTCATGTGGAACTGTGCCGATGCTTCGTTGGGCTGCAAACATGCAGCCACCGGACACGGCGCAGAATTTGAAAACACAACTAGGACGGGGGCTTTGTGGCTTCATGGCAGATTGCTGCCTGGCTAGCCGGCCCGTCGTGAGGTTGTCGTCGCGAAGTCAACCCTATGCCTCTGCATCCCACGCTTCCCTTGCTGCCCACTGCTGCCTCGGTAGGAGTGTGCTGGACTTGGAAGGGGAGGTAGCCCAGGTTTGTCGTATGCATGCAAGTAGAAGTTCAGTAGAAGTCGAAAGCACTGATCAACTGAATACTGGGGATGAGGCCCAATTCGTTCATCTAGACGAAGTGGTGACACTCGAGCTCGGCCCCTCTCTGAAGGCTCCTAAGGCGGCCCGGGAAAACACTACATAAGCAGCGACTTGAGAGGAAAGAGATCACAAGGTTATGGATTTCTGGATCTGGAACACAGTCCTGTCGCAAGTACTGGGTTCTGCCACAGCCAACAGCTGGCTCTTTGTTGTAGTATGCTTCCTCTTTGTGCTTCAGAGACATGGCGGCCAGTTCCCGGCTGTGATGTAGCAATCTCGTGTAGTGAAGCACAAGACAGTGCAACTGTGCATGGCAGCGCCGTAACTCAGACAAGTTTCCCATCAGCATATGCACTTGCAGCAGCTCCACACAGACCACGAGTTGAGCCGTGAGACCTCCCGTCTTCGCCACAAGTGCTTGATGTCGCGAGGTGCCTTGTCTGAGTCTTTTTTGGAACCGGGAAAAGTGGGAAACTCCGAGACTGTAGTGTGAAAGGCAGCGGGCCTTAGGGAGCAAACAAGCCTTCTTGCATTTTTGTACCTTCCACCCTCCTTGCAGAGAAGAGACAGGCACCGGGCCATGGTTCAGAAATGTAAGGACAAAGCAGATGAGGTCACAGCTCCTTCGAGCGAGTCTTTCCTCGTTCGGGCACCGAAAGCGCATCAGTTCAACCGTCAGGTCGGTCGGGGATTGTTTTAGACTCGACCGACTCGAAAGTATCATTTCTGGCAGGAGATGCTCCGTCGGTGCATGAGCTTTTCGCCATGGCCCTGAGTCCATGTCCCAGAGCTTTCAGAGTACGTCTGCATTTTTGCTGTTCCTCCGCTGTCCTGCACGAAAGTGTGCGTGAGGAGAAGAGCTCCCTCTGAAGCAGTTGGCAGAAGCGTTGAGCCGTTTGCACGGTGCCAGATGCTCAGAGCATGGCTGCACGCACCTTTTTCCCGTCATCGCAGAAGTGCTCTTCTTGAGCTCAGATACGCATGACCGTGGCAGCTGCGGCGGTCCCAGGTCAAGATCAGCTTTGTGTGCAGTCCAAGCAACGGCATAGAGACATCGCGAGACTCCGTGAACTCGCTGCTGCTATGGCACAAGACCTAGGCTTCCTAGGTACCGGTTTCGTCGTATTCATAAATCTCCATGGATGTGGCCTCGGTTTCAGCATTGCCCGGACACATGTTCATCTTGATGCAGCATGCACCTGCACTTGGATTAAGTTAACAGCCCATTTGTTGTCGGAGCGGAGCTCGCCAAAAAGCCATAGATTCCAGATGGATGACAGAGTCAACGTCAGCGTTCCCACAATCAAGATTCTGCAAGCTGCACAGGCTGGTTCCCTTGTGCTGCAGTTTTCAGGGCTGACGGCCCGTTCTGTGACTGGAGCTCCAAGCCGTGTGTGAGGCCGCCAAGGTGATGAAGGTGCCCGGTGCAATCGAGAGCCAGGAGGCTGACAGCGCAGACGCGATCACGGCATTCTGTCTGCAATGCACCCTGAGGCTGTCTTGCACAGGCGTAGGCGCCCTCTGAGGGGGCTACATGTAGAGATTACTACTGAGGAGTGGCTTCAGCGTCTGCAGCTGCAGCTGGGCGGCGCTTTCACCTGGGCCACCGAGGAGACCGAGGACCTCAGTGAGATGCAAGGGATCTGCACAGGAAGACGAAGGACAGAGCAGACTTGCAGAGTCTTCAGTGTACTGAGTGCTGGCAGGATGGCTTCACGATTAATGGTGAGCGCTATCAAATTGAAGGCCTTCTAGGCCCCCCTTTGTGCTTGGGGAGGTCTTTCCTGTGTAACGTGTTCCGCTGACCCTTGAAGCAGCGGAAGTCTGAGGAGAAGGCAGCTTCGGATCTGTCTACAGATGCCTTCTGGATGGTCAAGCCGTAGCAGTGAAAGTCCTCAGTACAGCAGCTTGGAAGCGAAGAGCTCGAACTTGACCGTGGTGGCCGTATTTCCTGCATGCACAAAGAGTTCTGTGGCCTGAAGCTGCCATTTGCATTGCTGTCCAAGGAGCGGATTGCGGTGATGACCAACTGCCCGCAGCACGTCGTTTTAAGGCTTGGGAGCTTGCTTAAGGCGTACGTGTTTCTGCGAAGGTATTTCAATTCGTCGCCGGTTTTGTGGATTTGGCGGTTGGATTGGTGTCCGAGAGCACGGAGTGCAGAAGCGTTGTGTTTTCTTAGGACAGGGGACAGGAAAAAGAAGACGGCAGTGCTAGGCTTCGGATCCCAGCTTTGGTTTGTCGAGGCCTTCAGAATGTTTAGCGTCGTCGGACCCAGGGATCAGCTCCCGGGGTAAATGCCGGAATCGTATCCACATGGATCCACATGTCAGCGTGACCGTCTCGCTGGCCAGGCGTATGTTGCAAGAAGCTGAAATTCTGGGTTGTCTCGGTGGTCATCCGAATATCGTCCAGCTGCGGGTTGCTGCCGTGTCGCAGCAGACGCTGCGAATTTACCTCGCTATGCACCATGGCACAAAAACTGCTGTCAGCTTTGGCCTTCTAAACTGAGAAAAGAAGATGCACCAGTTGAGCTCTCCACCGAGGCAACTGCTTGAATGTGGAGATCTTTTTTCGGAAATGCTGCGTCGTCGTCGGCAGCCTTTCTCGGAGCGGGATGCTCGAGAGGCGGCTCTCTCTTTCTCTCTCGGGCTGTTGATGGCATTCCGTTTCATGCAGCATTGTCAGGCGCTGACACAGGTGACAATGGCCGTCGTCCATTGCCACCGCCGAGGGGTTGCCCATCGTGCGGCTCATCTAAAGTCATTTCTGGCGGCAGATTGGTAATATCTTTGTGATGCTTGAAGAGTGGGAGGACATCAAGCTTGAGAACCTCATGGTCGCCGGTCGTCGACCACTCGTCGTGAAGCTCATTGATTTTGGTCAGGTCGTGGGCTTAGGCGGAATTCGAGTGGCAGCAAGGCATGAACTTGACAAGATCCGCGTACCCCAAGGCAGTCATGCATCATGATCAGTCTCAGCAGAGAATGCAAAGCGTCGTGCCCCGCTCAGACGTTTCAAGCGATTGAAGGCACGAACTTGATGGGTTTGTTTCGATATCATGCGAAGCATAGTGTACACTTGCAGGGCAGATAGTGCATCAATGTTGCAGTGTTCAGCGATGCTGAGTCGTTGACATGCTACATCAACTTAGCATGTGCAATCCTCCAGCGGTCGGGGGATTGGTATGGAGGTCCGGGCCGATTGCTCTGCATGCAGCTGCACCCACCCCGCAGTTGCATGGCTCCCTCTGTGGTGCGGTGGACATTTTCGAGCGAAAGCGCCTTCTTTCCCCAGTCCTGCTGCGGCCAGGTCTTGTGGGAATGCGACCTTAGGCTGTGTCTAACTTGATGCAGTGAGCCATCTTTCGCAGTCCTTAAAGTCTTAGCAGGTGCAAAGGCGGCGCGGAATGTTTCGCACCAATGATGGGGGAGGGGAGGGGGAGCAGGCAAGGGGAAAAGGGTGCTTCAAACAAGTTTCTTGGGAAGGAAGGGCTGGGACGGACGGGTGCTCGTTCACCGGTTAGGGCTAGGGTTTATGCCGACCTACCGTGCTCTGCTCGAGGCCAAGACATTGACAACCACATCGGCCTACACCCCACCAGAGGTCCAGAAGGCCACAGAGGACGCGACAGGGGAATGTCTACGACTGTGCCGCTTCAAGTCATGCTAAGTGCCAGTGCATCGTTGTGCTTGGCGGGCTCATGTTGTCATGATCTACGGTGACCAAAGATGCGAAAAGCGGGTGCATAGCTAGTGCAGTCTGCGGGCTTGGTCCGCAAAGGCTTGTATTGCCAACGGGGAACCCGGCGGACTCCAACGAAATGTTTTTCGCAGCTTCGTCTCCACTGCATGGTTCAGGAGGTATAGTGTGCTCTCCAAAACCGAATCATGCCTTGGCCACGATGTGTAGATTGTGTAGAAAGGAGCTGTGCTCTTGAACTTTCAGCCATGATGAAATTCTTGGGGCCTCACTCGGCTCAGTGCATCAGACGTGTTGAATTGATCCGCCGTGGATCTTGATTGCCATGCTCGTCACTCCTGTTGTTTGAGGACCACGAATCCTATGATCCGTTCAAGCTGGTGCCATGTCTGCACGTGGCAAGCCCCGTGACTAGCTCTGCGTCCGGTAGCCGCAGAACCAGCTCGGCCAAGGATTCGTTCGCGGTGGGAGTAGTGTTGTACGCTCTCCTGCTCAATGCTCTTCCAAAGACCAGCAGGGGTTTCGATTACGCAGCTTGTCATTGCAAGACGGCGAAGCAGACATAATCGAGCGAGACTACCTTACATGAATGGTTGTGTGTTGTTGGGCTATGGTTGGTCTGCATGACAGCCGAGGAGAAACACCCGAAGTGGTCCATGTTGTCAGTGAACGCGCAAGATCTTATCAAGCAGCTTATGGAGCCTGATCCGAATCGCGGCAGCAAGTTCACGTGCAGAGTCTATCATTTTGGCCCCGGCGCCTCTAGGCTTTGTGTCCCTTCTCTCCCCCGTCCACCCCGCGTCTCAAATCCTTACCCATTCCTAAACTTCTTCCACTGTATGCCTTGTCTGGTTCGCTGCGACAGTGCACTTGTCCATCTGATCCAGTTCTCTGTGATGATTTTTGCGTATAACCTCTGTAAGACCTTATCGGTCTGTCTCGCTTCCTGTCTCTGTCTTAAGGTCTCTGGTCCTCTGTCTTGGTTCTCATTCTTTCTCGCTCTCTCTCTCTCTCTCTAGTCTCTTTTCTCTTTCCTTTTTCGTCGGTGGATGTGCAAAGCACGGATGATCGGGCGCAGGCTGAAGTTTGTCACGTATCCGTGCAAAGGCTCATCAAGATTTTGCTTGAAGATGTGTCGCTGGTGCAGATGACGTCAGACTTTGGTCGCAGTGTTTCGCCTACGGGGTGGCGGCGGTAGAGCCACAGATGTGTAATAAAACGTCACGGCTCTCGAGCGGATCATACGGATCTTCCTCAGGGCCCCGCACGGGACATCGCTATTCTTCTGCCAACTCAAAGTCGAAAGTGCCTCCTCTCCAGCTTTGTTCTGCATGCGTGTCGCATGTTTGGGCTTGACTTGAGGCAGCGACGGATCTCCGTGGCCGACGCCCTGCAGCATCCGTGGCTGTTGTCCAGAGGCTGACAACACGCTGCAGCCTGCCGCCATCTGTCGCCTTTCCTTGTTGCTTTGACCCTGAGCACGTGCTGGGCAGGCGATACCTGCACTTCGAGGCATGATCTGGCACTGTCCAAGTCTTTGCAAATCTGTGCAAGTGTTGCGGCAATGTGAGGACGTCGTCGAGAACACACACTCCCCTTGTCATGGAGAGCGAGATGCAAGTTTTGCTTGCAGCACAAGAGCTGAACAAGGCTTTGCAGCGCGAGTGGCTAGGCTCGATAAATCAGACATCTCGCCCCACTTCTGCCGAGTGCCTTTCGAGGACAACGCTATTGAGGTTCGCACTAGTCACTAGAAGCTGTGGCCTTGTTTGGTTGTCCTTTCTTTTGTTAACTCCTGCGCTGCCTGCTGTGAATGAAGCTTCGATAATCACGCTCGCCGAAGGGTTGTGTGACCCTTTGCTAACAATGTCAAGATAGCACGTGATACTGCTTCGAGGCGCGGATCCAGCTGCTGGCTGTTGAGTGGAAGTGAAGAAGCCGAGAATGTTTGCCGCTGGTTCTGCTGCTTGGCGCTAGCTGACACTGTTTCCTCCGTGCATATCCACAAAAATCTGAAGGCCAATGGAAACGATCTACAGAGTTTGGGTGGCATTCCTCACCGGAAGCTCAGGCAAGTCAACTGACGAATGCTACATCAAGCTGCAGGACCTGTGCTTTGTGGTAGATTTCATGAAAGCAGGGGCGTGTGCCTCTCTTGTGTTCATTCCTTCCATTTGTCAGGAAGGCGTGGCCTGCACCCAGCTAGATGAACAGAGGCTGGAATCTTGGCGCAGACAATCTGACTTGGACGGCGATGTTGAACGACTTGTTGAATCACTTCAAGCTACTTTGTGCAA